CTCAGGTCAACAATTTCTGACATTGCCAGTCAAGCGGAAGACCCAATACTATTATGGGCTAGTGGACTCTTTTAGAATATTTTGCTGAGTTAACAAACCTTTAATATTCAAATTACAGAACTTAACAAAAAAAGGGGATACAGGTGAATGTCCATTTTGTATTCAAAATGGTTAGGATAGATATATAGCTACATTCTCTTAATAAATAGAGGGATTTGTTCTAATTGTGTTTGCAAATAGGATATCATGTCTGCATTTTGTATAGCAATTAACCACTAGGAAGAATGAATGCAATGTGTTAATTATTGAAACTGTCATACCAATTAGGTTTGAAACTGTGTCATTGCTATTTATTTCTCAATAAAATTATGTGAAGAAAGAAAAAGCACAACGTTTTTTAGAATTATGAGCTTAATTCTGAAAGTATAATTTTTTTATTTTTTATTGTGTGTATTTGGTACAGGGTCTCACTACACAACTTGGACTCGTAGTGATCCTCCTGTTTTCAGCTTCCCCAGCGCTGGGATTACAGGCATATGCACCACCACACCCAGGCATGATCACCAGCTCAGCGTGCCATGGGGGCGGGGCAGGCATGGCAGGCAGCACCTGGGATGGAACATCCCCTGTGCTTAGTCCTCTGAGCTATTCTGCTGGCCCTAAAATATAATTTGAAAGAATGAAATAATCAGGAGCATCATGTTGTAAAAGTTCTATTAATGACTATCTAATGTGAAAAGAAATGCCACTTACAATAAAAATTCTACAATCAGAACAATTATAGACATAAATATATTTGTGTCATATTGGAACATAAAAGCTTAAACTCCTGGGAAAGATTTTTTTTTGGCAGAACCAGGGATTGAACTCAGGCCTTTGTGTTTGCCAGGGAAGCACTTATTTAACTGAGCCATCTCCCTGGCCCTTCTGGGAAAGATTTGAAAAGAGGAAGAACTCAATTTGGAAAGAGTGAGGAAAAAAAAATCCTGAAAGTTTTCTGGTAACCGATTGGTGTGCCACATACTACTGAAGTTTAGTGGCTTTTAGTCTCCACTTTCTACAGGCTTCTTCAGTAAAGTAGATCAGAAGTTTGGAGATGCCTTTCAGTAGCGTAAGTCAGGGCTCACGCACTTCTAAGGCTTGCTAATCTGTACATCTGGTCTCAGTGCTCTTTAGCCTTTCCTCTCTCTCTCCATGCTGTCTTGTTGTTATGGCCTGAATATGACTCCCTTAAATTCCTATGTTGAATACTTACCTGGCAGGAGAGATACCATGATCACGAAGGTGGTTTTCTCGGGGCGAGGCTTATCTATTGCACTGAGGATGGGTTGACCTTTGTGATTTCCCCAAATGTGGGAAACTTGACTGCATCATTTATGGTAGTGGGGGACTGTGTCCATGCTTTCTCTTGTTTAAAAAAATTCCTATGTTGAAATCTTAACTCTAGAGGTAATAGCACAGTGGACAGGACTAGTGCTCTATAGAAGAAGTAGGGGATGTAGAATCTCTTTCTCTGCTCTCTACCTGCTGAAATACAAGTAGAAAGGACCATCTGAAAACCAGAAGGCAGGCCCTACAAGGTAGATCGTGGATCTTCAGGCAATTGGTCTTTGCTGTATTACCTTCCAGAACAATGAAAAATAAGTTTCTGTTCTTCAACCCTCCCCCTTTTTGTGGTATTTTATTGTAGTAGCCTCAGCCAACACTCATCCTCCAGGGACTCTTAGATGACTTATGCTTTTTGTAGTGAGGTGGCTTTAAAATTCTGGCTTGGGGATGTCAGAAAAATGAGGCTCCAATGGACCCCTATAGGAGCTGCAAAGCTTTTTATAATCTCAACTCAGAGGTCCCCATACACCACTCATTTGTATTCTGTAGGCCTAGAAAGCCACTAAGGCTAGTCAAGATTGAATGAGAAAAGAATTTGTGGACAACTTTAGTCTATTATAGCTTGCCTTTCGGCCACAAATTATTTACATTCCTCTCAAATACAAAATAACCCAAAGCCTCCACATCTTGTTATTTTTCAACTTTGGCTTGAAGCAGAGGATCTGAGCTCCTAAATCAGGCCCAGATGTGGATAATTTCCTCTGGTGAAGTTCCCTGAGTACAATGCTTTCAATCTGAGGACTTGTGAACCAAAAAGAAAAGTTTTCTTCCCCTCTTGCCCAATTATCAGAACGTAATGGTAGAACAGGCATAGCATAACCACAATAGACACTTGGGTTCAAAAACAGGGAAACAGGAGTCAAACCAGCAGTCACTGGTGAGTAACAATTACAAGGTTCATCTGGGTGTGTGTGGCCATTCTGCAAGGAGCTTTGATGAGAGCCCTGATCTTCCTCCAGAGGAGAATTCTGTGGGGACATCTGCTTTTTCATTTGGTCTCTTGTGCTAGTCTACCAAGTCAATTTTCTTTATCCATAAGAAATCATCCCTACTAGATTTCTTAGTTTTTCGTCTTTCCTCCAAAATTGAAGGGTTCAAAGTTCTTATTAGTTTGTAATCTCTCTCTCCTCTCAGTTCAGACTAATAAAATTCTTTAAAAAATATGTTTGTGTATCAAATTATAATCCACTCCATGGTTCTAAATGCCAGATGTCTTTGTACTTGTCTTACTTGGACTGAAAGTAAGATGCTTAGGGCAAAATGAAAAATGCTTTCGGCATTTTAGGAGCCTACTTGAAAGTATATACACCTTAAATCTTGAGAGATGTCTCAGCAGAGTCCTGGGCCATTCCTCTGAAATCATCACCCTACTTCAGTGCTTCTCACTCTTTAATTTTGAGAGATTTTTGCTACCTGGAAAATGGGGACTAATAAACTTTCAATTTTTTGCTCCTTCATCTTCTCAATTTTACTTGAGAGCTGAAAAATTCCATTTTTAAAGACTACATCTCACTATTTATACTTTATCCAAAACAGGTATAAGAAATTCATTTTGCTTTTAACACTTTCCTCCAGGAACTCAGTTTAGGTAAGTCCATCAGTCCATTAACTGTTTTCTCCCTCCCTCTCTTTGGCTCTCTCCCTTTCTTTCTTCCTTTAGGTTATAGGAGGATATGGTGTTGCTAAGTTTCTCTATTACAAAAAAGAGCTTTTATTCCAGCCTCTTGTGATTAATTCTTCACTCCCCTTCATGCTCAGTGAAGAAGCATTTGCTCACTACATGGTCTAAAAGGAAAAGTTATACATTTTAAGTCTTTGTGGTGATAGAATCTCAATTCAAGTCCTATGTTTTGTTCTATCTATTGCTGCATAATAAAACACCCCCAAATATAACAGAATGAAATAAAAACAGGGCTGGGTTTCATTCTGTTGAAGATTTTCTGGTCTAGGAAGGTGAACCAGGCTCAGGTGGGCAGTTTGACTCTGATCTGCTGTGGCATCCCTTGAGGCATTTTGGCAGGAAATTATACCTACGTATCAGCCAAGTTTTCTGTTGCTGGCTCACAGTACCCAACACCCACAATGTAAGGGAGGAGAGGTTTAATTTTATTTACAGTTTTGGGGGATTCATTCCATGGTTGGCAGCACCAAGGCATAAGCATCATGGTGGAAGAGAATGGTGGAGCAAAGCTGCTTCGTTCATGGTGGCCAGGAAGCAGAGCAGGGGAATGGTGCCAGAGAGGAAGGGGAAGGTAGCGAGACATAGGACCCAAAGACATTTCTTTGTGACCCAGACAGCACACCCAGAAGTGTCCTCACTACACCTGGGTGTTTCTTAATCTGCTCAAGTTGACACATCATGAGTAATGGAACCACTTTATAGGACGCTCCTTTACCACATTTGGTTGCTTGGTCCTTTTCTCTTGTCATACATGGTACTTCATCCTCTAGAACCTTTCCATGTGAAAAGTGATTACCACTGCTTTTATGGAGTGTCAGGGCTCCTAAACAGAATGCCAAGAGGTCTGGGAAGAAGCTGCAAGGCATTTTATGAACCAGGCTCAGAAATATGGTAACATCACAAGGAAAGAGGGACTGTATCTCTCAATGGCATGAATCATAATTGCACTCACCATTAAAGATCTTCAGAATTTGAGACTTGAGAGGTTGTAGTGATCAAATAGATTTTAGAATTTTACTCATACCATTGCTTTTTTTTTTGTTTTTCCCTTGAATGCACTATTACACTAACTAGAAAACATTTTAATTTCAGGGATTTGCAGCATCAATCACAATAGAGGCTGCTGTGAAGTTTTTAAAAGATGTCAAAATTTATATCTGTTACTAATGTTTTGCTCTCAGACTAAATTTAAAGGAAAGAGAATTGGGTCATCAAAATACCCAAATAAATTATTACATTTTTACTGAATATTCATGGGAACTTGGACATTGCATATTTGCATAGTAGACTAAATAATATTACTGGATAGTTTTGGCTTTTGTTGAACTTCAAAGAAATGAATGTATCACATACTTTAAGTGACAGACAGTGTATATTTGGGAGAATATAGCCAAAAGAAACAGAAATTTTCAATCTATATGACTGACTTAATGCAGAAATATTCACAGAAAGCTTGCACTTTTTCTCTTCCTTAGTGTTTTTTTACTTCTTCATAAATTCTAGAGAGCAGACCCTTGTCTGAGTACTTATTTGTCATGATTTTTCCCAAATTTGTGGGTTGCCTTTTCACTTTGTTGGCAATTTCTTTTGACATGAAAAAACTCAGTAAGAGCAGGTCCCAGTTGTTAATTCTTTCAACTGTTTCCCGTGCGATTTGATTTCTGTCCGTGAACACTTTGCCTACCTCTATGTCTTCAAGAGTTCCTCCCACTTTTTCTTCCAGGAGATTTAGTGTCTCTGCTTTAATGTTTAGATCTTTAATCCATTTTGACTTTAGTTTAGTGCACAGTGATTGACCTGAGTCAAGTTTGAGTTTTCGGCATGTAGAGAGCCAGTTTTTCCGCACCATTTGTTAAAGAGGCTATCTTTCTTCCAGTGAGTATGTTCGGCCCCTTTGTCAAGATAAGGTGGCTAAGTGTGTTCGTAGGGGCCTCATTGGCTTCTAATCTGTTCCATTGATACTCAGGTCTATTTTGTTGCCAGTACCATGCTGATTTTATCACAGTATAATTTGCAGTATAATTTGCAGTGTAATTGCAGTATAACTTCAAGTCAGGAATTGTAATGCCTCCTGCCTTGTCTTTAATGCCCAGAATTGCCTTTGCTATTCTAGGTTTTTCTGGTTCCAGATAAATTTTAAGAATGATTTCTCTAGGTCTGAGAGGTGTGGTGGTGGTGGTCTGACAGGGATTGCATTAAATCTGTACAGCAATTTTGGGAGTATGGCCATCTTCACAATGTTGGTTCTTCCTATC